GGCTCAAGTGGTAGAGTGCTAGCCTTGAGCTGAAGAGCTGAGGGACAGCGCCCAGGCCCAGAGTTCAGGCCCATGACCGGACCCCCCCCCCAAAATAAAATGCCAAAGGAGAGCACAAGGCTCTGAGTTCAAGCCCCTGGACCAGCTAAAAAAGAAGACAGGAGGAAGGGAGAGAGGGAGAGAGGGAGGGAGGGAGGGAGGGAGGGAGGGAAGACGGGAAAGGAAAAGAAAGGAAAGGAAAGGAAAAGAAAAGAAAGGAAGAAGCTCTGCTCCAAGCTGACAAGTGGTGGATCAGCACGTCCTGACTCTCCTCCATACCAGGGTCTGCACCCACACAAGGCCCTCACTTCTCTGAGTCTGTCTGATCCACTGAGTCTGGGGAGCATGTCCTCCTCCCAAGGGGAGTTCCCCAGGGGGCTGTGGAGGTGTCCCGGCCTTCAGCCTGGCCTGGCCGGGGCTGGGGAAGAGAAAAATGACACCAGCCCGGGTCCTGTTCCAAGACTGTGCAAATCACTTCCTGGCTGGGCGCCTCAGTTTCTGCGTTTGAAAAATGGGCTTCACAACCACCCAGCGGGTGGGGGGGGGGACCTGGGAGGACTTAGGGGATACCGAGGGCTTGGGCGGGAGGGGCCTGCGTGGGTTTTCACCAGCCCGTCTCCCCCCCTTCCACCCTGGCGGTCTCATGGGGTGCAGGGGCGATGGGAGCCCCCCTCTCGGAGTCCCTGGGTCGTCCGGCGTTTTCGGATCTGCCCCTCGGCCCAGCACTCAACTTGGAACACGACAGACGCTCTATGAATACCTGTTGACTAACAGACTCGGCAGGTCCTCCGGCCGGGGGACACCCCCGGGACCCCCTCCAGCCCCCCTCGGCCCCAGCCCCACCCACCTCTCAGCCAAGCCGCCACCTTCCCGGGGGTCCAGGTCTCCACCGGCTCCATGCCCGGCTCCGCCCGCCGCGGTCCGCCCGGCCCGCCCGCGCAGGAATTTCCGCTCCCGAAGCCCGGGTTGGGCGGGCGGGGCGGGCGGGGCGGGGCGGGGCCGCGCATACCTGGGCCCACGTGGCCGCCCAGGTGAGGCACCGCACAGCCTCCGGCCCCGCCCCGCGGGCATCGGGACGGCTGGGTCCGGTGGGGCGGCCCCAGAGCACTGTGACCCTGGTAACCTCAGATCTGGGCTGAGATTTCCAGACACCTGTAATCCTAGCTACTCAGGCGGCTGAGAGCTGAGGACCGTGGTCCGAAGCTAGCCTGGGCAGGACAACCCTTGAGAATCTTATCTCCAATCCATCAGGGAGGGAAAAAAAGGCATTAATGGACCTGTGGCTCAAGCGGTAGAGTTTGGAAAAGGCTGAGGGACAGCACCCTGAGCTCAAGCCCGGTCAGTACCCATCTCTCCAACTTGACTCAAGTTCCAGATTTGCAAAAGCGATACAAGCCCCTGCTTCAGAGCACGGTTTGCAGAGTACCTGAGCAAGTAACTTAAAAACGTTTGGAACTGGTTTTTTAAGCCTCTTTTAATTTGAATCTTTTGGCAGTCTAGTGAGGTTTATGAATACTTTCTCAGAATAAAGCTTTTATTTAGAGCTGCTGGTGGTTCATGCCTGTCGTTGCTGTATTCAGGAGGCTTAGATCTGAGAATTGTGGTTCAGAGCCAGCCCAGGCAGAAAAGTCTGACTCCCCCACCCCCACCCCAGTCCTGGGCCTGGGTACTGTCCCTGAGCTTCTTTTGCTCAAGTCTAGCACTCTACCACTTAAGCCATAGCATCACTTCCAGATATTTATGTGTCACTGAGAAATCCAACCTAGGGCTTCATGCATACTAGGCAAGCACTGTACCACTAAGCCACATTTCTAGCCCTGTGAGACTCTTATTTCCAGTTAACCACCAGAATACCAGAAGTAGTGCTGTAGTTCAAAGTGATAATGTTCCAGCCTTGAGCAAAAGAGCTCAGGGACAGTGCTCAGGTCCTGAGTTCAAGCCCCATGGCTGAAAAAAAAAGTCTTCTATTTATTTTTTTAAGACTGGGTCTCAGTATGATGCTCATGAGTCATCTTGCATGGCTGCCTCGGCATCACACAGTTACATGCTACACAGCCAGAGAAAATAGTACACACATAAAAAGCTTGAAGCCTGTAATCCTAGCTACTCGGGAGACAAGAATTGAGGGTCAATGTTCAAAGCTACTCTGGGTAGAAAAGTCTCTATGAGATTCTTATTTCTAATTAACCAGCAAAGACAAACAAACAAACAAAAACAAAAACGGAAGTGAAGGGGTGGCTCAAGTGGAAGGTCATTATCCTTAAGTGAAAAAAGCCAAAGAAGAGGCCCTGACATCATGCCCCAGTACTAGCACAATAAATAAATAAATAGTAAATGAAAAGCAGCCAAAGAAAGGAAGAAAAGAAAAACCAGGCATGGAGGCAATATACCACAAAACCAGTACTTAGGACACTGAGAGAGAAGGATTCTGTTTTCTAGGCCAGCCTGAGCTACATATTGACCCTTTGCCTCAATAATAAAGCATAAGCCAGGGCTGGGAATGTGGCTTAGTGGAGTACTTGCCTAGCATGCATGTAGCCCTAAGTTTGATTCTTCAGTACCACATAAACAGAAAGAACTGGAAGGGGCATTGTGGCTCAAGTGGTAGAGTGCTAGCCTTGAGCAAAAGAAGCTCAGGAACAGTGCTCAGGCCCTGAGTTCAAGTCCCAGGACTGGCATACAAAACAAAACAAAAAAAAAAGTTTTATGAACATAAAGTTCTACATATTTGTCATAATTATTTCCAAAATGATGAACAAATGCAGCAGTAGTACTCATTAGACACTATGTTGAAAATGAACTATATAACTTATGGGTAGGGATAGTAGGAAAAAACAGAGTGAAAGAAGGGTGATATTGTCCAAAATGATATGTACTCATTAGCTGGCTTATGAAACTATAACCCCTCTGTATGTCTCCTTTATAAAAACAATCAAAAATAAAAATAAAAAATATATCAAAAAAATTTTTCTGCCTTTCATGAGGCTTGAACTCAGGGCCTAGGCACTGTCCCAGAGCTTTTGTGTTCAAGGCTAGTGCCCTACCACTTTGAGCCATAGCTCCATTTTCTTAGTAGTTCATTGGTATTAGTAGTCCCACAAACTTTCCTGCCCAGTCTAGCTTTAACCAGAGATCCTCAGAGTTCAGCCTCCTGAGTAGCTAGGATTACAGATGTGAGAAATAAGATAAAAACATACCATTTCCCCACTATCTTATTTTCCAGTGAGGGCCACTGCCAATTTTTTTTTTTTTTGTCAGTAGTGGGGCTTGAACTCTGGGCCTGGGCGCTGTCCCTCAGCTCTTCAGCTCAAGACCAGCGCTCTACCACTTGAGCTACAGCGCCACTTCTGGTTTTCTGGTGGTTTATTGGAGATAGGAGTCTCACGGTCTCTCTTGCCTGGGCTGGCTTTGAACCGCGATCCTCAGATCTCAGCCTCCTGAGTAGCTAGGATTACTGGTGTGAGCCACCAGCGCCCGGCTGACTGCCAAATTTTCTAGGTATACTTTCTTCCTGTCTTTTTCCTCTTTCATTCTTTCCCTCCCTCCCTTCCTTTTTCCTTCTTCCCTCCCTCTTTCCTTCCTTCCTTCTTTCTTTCTTTCTTTCCTCTCCTTTCCTTTTCTTTTTTGGGGGTCCAGTCGTGGTGCCTAAACTCTGGGCCTGGGCGCTGTCCCTCAGCTCTTCAGCTCAAGGCTATCACTCTACCACTTGAGCCACAGCACCACTTCTGGCTTTTTTTCTTTTTGCTTATATGGTGCTGAGGAATCAAACCCAGGGCCTCATGCATGCAAGGCAAGCACTCTACCACTGAGCTACCTTCCCAGCCCCGTCTTTCTTTCTCTCTCTCTCTTTCTTTCTTTCTTTTCTTTTTTTCTTTCTTTCTTGTGTATGCAGTTTATCACTGAAGCTTAAAATTAGAACCTCACACTTTACACTCTCAATTCATTTTTTTCACTCTGTTGTTCTACCACTTGAGCCGTACCTCCAGTCTTGCATTTTGCTATTTAATTGGAGATCTCACAGACTTTTTCTGCTTGGGCTGGTTTTGTACCTGTATACTTACATCTCAGCCTCCTGAATAGCTAGGATTGCAGGTGTGAGCTACCAGCACCTAATTCTCATTCTTTATATCAGCAGATATTCTACAAATATACTTTCCAAGAACTATTTTATTTGTCACAATGATAAAAAAAAAAGTGTCTCAGCAATGCAAAATTTACTTCTGCAGAAGGGTGCACCATCAGCCAAAAACTTAGCAAGCAAGCACACAGAGCAGGCAGGTTGCTCCCTATTTATCCCAAACAATAGGATGCACTACCCTTTGTGAGAAAGGGCTCAGGAGGTTGGAGTGTCACGTAGGAATAAGGACACCAATTTGAAAGGTTCAACAAGGCAAAATTTACTTCTACAGAAGGCCATCAACCAAAAATCTGGCAAACAAACACATGGAGCAAATGGGCTGCTCCCTTTTTATCCCTAACACAGCAGGCTTTTCTCCTTTGCTCCAGTTGGTTGAGCTCAGGTTCATATCTGCTTGTGGCTAGCTAATTTGAAGTGGGCAGGAGTGTATTTACATAAGTTGAACACTAAAACACTATGAAATAAGATTAGTAGTACACAAGCAATCTCCAAACATACCCCCACCCTCAGCTATATCTTGAGCAATCTGAGATGTGTTTTCAGAGGCCTGTCAATTCCATCTTGGAACAACCAGTTAAGACAAAACCTTACATTACAAAAACCCTAGCAGTTCCTCTTTTCCTTTTGGTACTCCCAGATTTTAGCAGAATAAGCAACAAGAGCCAAGCCAGTAGGCCAAACCAGGAACTTTATTTTTTTTATTTGTGAACATACTGTACAGAGGGGTTACAATTACATGGGCAGGATAATGCGTACATTTCTTACCAAGCATTGCAGCCTCCTCCTTTGGTTTACCCTTCACATCCCTTCCCAGCCTCCCCCCTCCCCCCCAAACCAGGAACTTTTAAGCAACACACTTTGATAGAAAAGATGGTTTTTCGAGGTATGGGTGATATACACCTGTAATCCTTGCTAATCAGGAGCCTGAGGACTGAGGATCACAGTTCAATGCCAGCCTTAGCAGAAAAGTCCATGAGACTCTCCTCTTTAATTAACCACCAGAAAACTGGAAGTGGTTCTGCGACTCAAAGTGGTAGAGGGGCTAACCTTGAATGAAAAAGCTCAGGGATAGAACCAAAGCCCTGATTTCAAGCCCTGATAACAAAAGAAATAGCTTTTCTCACGTAGATGGTAGATAGATAGATACATAGATAGATAGATTATGAGTCCATACCAAATAATACATGGGAATTTGCCTAGACCGATCAGCAGCTTTTTGTTATATTTTATTATTTACTATATCAGCTTAATCAGTATATGTAGATCTGCTTTTACATTCCGCAAGTGTGTCCTCCCTCGAGGTAGAGGTGATTATCTTACGCAAACCCAGTAAAGAAGGTGCATAGCACTTGAGGAAGCTGATAAAGCACCTGACCCTCCTTTGTCTAATGCTGATTCGTGGCATCCAATCATCTGAGGTAGGAGTAGGGCTTGGGTTAGGGCTGAGGAAAGCCTGCCCAGTACCTAGTCCATGCCTAAGACTCCTAAGCACTACCAATCAAGGCCTTTTCTACCTATGCAGCCTGGCCTGGCCTGCCTGGTGGATGGGGGAGGTGCTGCTCAGACCTGATGTTGATCTCTTCTGACAGCTGCTCCTAGGGCTGGCTGGATGGCAAGCAGTGGGGGAAGGGACCAGATTTAAGGATCTGGTTGCCCCGCCCCCTGCCAGACCTAGGCAGGCCAGGGCCAGTGAGCATCCTTTGAGGTCCTGGCTCTCAGGAGGGGGTCAGAGACCTCTGTAACCTGATTTCTATTTCATGGTGCCATGAAC